TTTGAGAGGACAGGGATGCATATGAAACCACTAACCTTGAATTACAAAATTCTCCTAAAAGATATACTTGAGTTTCACATAGTTCAGTCTCCTGGGCAGATGCACAGTTAGAAGAATTCAACAATATCCTCAAGCATCATCGTTGTTCAGTGAAATATTAAAACAGTGACCATTAGGAAGGCATTAATCTCAAGATACTGTGGTATTTAAATTGGCTTGTGATTACAGGCATGAGTTTGCAGAACATTACCTAAAAAAAAACCTGACACACAACCAACTTTTAAAAAAAGCCTTCACTTTAAACATGTTTTCCATGGACTGAGGAGGACACCGTTAAATAGTTTATGTTTGTTTTTAACAGTTTTTAACAATCACTACACTTCCAAATAATTCATGTTATGTGAGATGTTTTGAGATTGATAAACTTGTATGTAACTCTTCTTGAAATCACTCTGGTCAGTGTTAAATTATCCAATTGACCGTGTATATTACAATAGTAATGTTCAAAGAGTACACTACTTCCTTGCTGAAAGGTTCAAGACTGTTTGTTTCCCTTCACCTGATCACCCACTCCATTCTGCCTCTTTTGTTTCCCTCCTTAGCTCCCAGCCTTGCCTCCCACCAGTCCTCTGACTCACCATATCAGGCCTTCTGAGAACTTGCTTTCCCTGATCTTGCTTTCCTAGCCTCACTGGGTCTTGCCTTGTTGGCGTTGCTTACCAAAATTCACCTTCTGACTGCATTTTCATTCATATTCTGCTTCTCTCCTGCTTTTGCTGCTAAAAGGTTCACTGTTTGCAACAGTCATGAGAAAGAACCAGTTTCTGATTGGCTGAACATCTCTTTCCTGACTCTGACTCTGTTCCAGTTTTGGGGTGACTTTTCTCTGGTTGTCTTGGGGCAGATTCATCCTCTGCTGCATGTATCAGTTTTCTGTAGGTGTTTAAAAGGTCTGAGTTTGTTACTACATTAGGAAAGGTGGAAGTTGGAGCAGAAATGCTTAATGATAGCTGCAGTCTGTGTCAGGAAGAAATATCCTTCCAGTGCTCTCGAAACATTTAAGAGCAAACTAAACATTTGTCTTAGCCTAGTTTGTAAAATGGATTCTCACTCATGCTCTTCCTGAAGTGCTGAGACATATATTTTCCCCATTTATTTTGTTATAACCAATCCTAATAAAATTAAGACAAATAGAATTTTAATTTGTATTGCATGTTTACGGTAGTAAAAAGTAAACACAGATGTGCAGCGGAGAAAATGAAAGAGGATGGAAGAACAGAAACTCAGTCCCGAGTTCTTTTTGGAGATTAAGGTTGCAAGTGGTCGAATTCTGCCTGAGCCATTGAGAGGATTTGGGGGCAAGGACTGTGACAACCCTGATGGGTGAGGCACAATACTTGAGGAGTAGGAACCATGTAAAATTTCGGTATTGTGGGTCCAGAAAGGGTAGGTGAGTGATTAACATTTGAGTGGGAGCGGCATCAAAAGAGCGTGCTGCACCTGCAGGTTAGCCTTCAGTGACTATTGACAAAGACATCCAAATCCTTTTTACTTGTCAACCTTTCTCAGTGTAAGAAGTAATCAGTTCATCTGTTCTTTCTACCAAAGTAGATAACCTCACGTTTTTTTCCACACCAAATTCAATATGCCATGTTTTCCATCATTCACTAAGCCTGTCCAAATCCTTTTGAAACTGCTTAATACATTTCTCGCAATACCCATTTTTATTTTAGTTTTGTACCATCTGTAAATCTGACCTTGTTCCCAGGATGGCGATGAAGAGAGAGATACAGTTGGTAGTGGAGAAAATAAATCAAAGATGATAAATAGAGAGGAGTGAAGAATGAGTATTAATATGATGAGGTCCTCCCAGATTTGGTGATGGATGAGCAAGAAATGTGTGCCAGATTAACTTGTATGTCGGGAGGAATGGGATTTGAAAAGCTACGCTGAGGGTGTTAGAAATCATAGTTATTAAATTTGAAATTTAGATTTTGTTAGCTACCACAAGAGGTGACTGGTTTGAGGGCTTGCTATGAACATTGATATGAGCATTTATATGGAGAGGGAGAAGTAAAATCAGAGGAGAGGAGTTGAACTGGTTTGAGACGTGAAATTAAGGATCAAGAGTTGTTCAATGAAAAGGATAGTGGTGGATAACTTGGCTGAAAATTCAGGTTGGAGCTCTGTGGGCTGTGGGCACTTAAAATTTTAATGCAAAAGTGAGACATCTGGCAAATGGTGAGAGGAGATAACAAGGTGTAGAGCTGGATGAACACAGCAGGCCAAGCAGCATCAGAGGAGCAGGAAGGCTGACATTTCAGGCCTAGACCCTTCTTCAGAAATAGGGGAGGGGAAGGGGGTTCTGAAATAACTGGAGAGACAGGGGGAGGCGGATAGAAGATGGATACAGGAGAAGATAGGTGGAGAGGAGACAGACCGGTTAAAGAGGCAGGAATGGAGCCAGTAAAGGTGAGTGTAGGTGGGGAGTTAGGGAGGAGGTAGGTCAGTCCAGGGAGGACGGACAGGTCAAGGGGGGGGGGGGGGGG